TAAAAGTGGCCTAACCTAAAAATTCGATGAAAATTATCCCTGGTGATCTCAACGAAGGGTATAAAGGACACGTAAGAAATATCCGCCGACCCGGAAGTCGGTAATAAATTTCCTTAGAATTTTTAAGTTGGGGTACTTTTAAGGGGCTGGAATTAAATTTGAAGTAAAATGTTCATGTCCATGTAGGAAAAATGAACAGTCGCTATCACTACTCATAGACACCCTTCAGCCCCAATAAACCACGAAGACCGGGACCATCTCTCTTCAGGTCCCACTGTTCACCTTCCATCACCTGATCGGACCACTTCTGGTTCGTCACCTCCTGACCCAGAACCATCGCCGCCACCTCCGGTGTCCTTGTCGTTTCCTCGTGTCCCCGCACCCTCCGTTCCCCTTGGTGACATCTCTTCGGCATCCTGGGACAAATGCGCTCCTGCAGCTGCCCGTCCACGCGAAATGGACGGACGCGTCCATGAATGGTCTTGCGTGGGTGATGGATAGACGGTTACCGAACGCTAAATGGCTTTCGAAGTGTCTCCTTATTGCACGGGACCTCCCATTATCCCGATCGTACGTAGATTTTCCGGAGTGTCAAGGGACCCCGAAGAGATCGCGAGATCCGGGACCATCGTCGATGGGTCCCGAGATTCCTTTTTTCATATTCTCCCTATTAATGGATTTCCCTTTCCGTCCCTCCCCCAACTCCAAAGATTTATTTCCCATTATGCCCTCTGGAAGAATAACCGCGGTTGGGATTTTCGGACATAACCATAACAGAGAATTTTTCCTCCCGAAATATCAGATGCAAGAATAAAAGAAATGAAATACGAAACGAGACTAAATCCATATGAAATTCCAGAATTTCCTGGCGACCCATGCGAGGATTTCTTACATATTCACTGTATTTACTGTACTTATTATTTATTGGCAGGTTGCATTCATAGATATGCATGTATTTTTTTGCATTGAGTATACACGAGGGTGAAATAACATCAAATGTGTGCGCAACTCCTGAGGAATTATTCCTTTCTGTGTTTCGCGGAATACAAGATGGCGGCGCAGAGGCCGAAAGGAGTCTCCGTCCCGGCGGGTTGGAAACGCGTCAGAAAAGTGCACGTGGAGGGCGAAGGTGCTTTTCACTTCTTCGACTCTTTCCAAAGAGTCTTTCGGAGTTTGTGTCGGGGTCGGGCCCCGCCACGAAGAGTCCAACACACGCAAGAAGCGTAACAGGCGTCGCCACCGAAACGCGTCCTCCTTCCCTTCCAGATTGCGGGACGACGCCGAAGTCCGTTGGCGTTTCCTGGTCCTCGGTGGCAACGGATCGGCGCGTCTCTTTTTTTTCCCCGTCACCTACCGCCAGGAGAGGAAAAAAAAACCGCCATTAACGGACGCCGCCCGAGCGCCCTGGCGGAGGAAAAAAGCCCCCGGAGAGGGAGAGAGGTTAGGAAGAGCTTCTACGGGGAAGAGGAAGAGGTGGAAGAGCATGGGAGAGCGCGATAAAATTAATAAAATAGGCTTCCAACATCCCTGGAAGGGGATGGAAAAAAGAAAGGGCTCGCAAGAGGTGGAACCAAGATGGCGGCGTAACGGCCGTGGACTTTTACCGGTATCTATTTTTACGCCTCGTACAGGGACACACGGAGTTTCTAGGGAAAGGGCGGAGAAACGTGAGAGTGTGCAGGAATTAAGGAAATCTGCCAGGGAGTTCCCAGGGAGGGAAAGAAACGCGGAAGGGGTAAGCAAACGCGCAACCAAGATGGCGGCGTCGGAACGGAGTTTCACCGACGTGTTTACCGTTTTTTATGCGTTATCCAGGGATACGGAGAGAGGGAGGAAGAGTTTGTACGGAAAAAGGGCGCAGAGAGTGTGCAGGAATGAATGAAATCTATCGCGGAGTTCCCAGGAAGAGAAAGAAATACGAGGTTGCTGGAAGGGGTGAGCACGTGCGGAAGAAAGATGGCGGCGACGCCGTCTTCCCCGACACCTGGGAGCGCGAAATAACGTTTCTTCGGTTAAAAGGGTAGAAACGTGAGAACTCGTGCCCCGAAATGTGCGTAATCGTCCCAAAAATTCATCCTGGAAGGTAAAAAACGCCAGGGGACGGCCGGGCAAACATGGCGGCGCAGGAAGAACGACGGTTGGGACTTAACCTTAAATGGGGAAGGTTCGCGGATTTCGCGGCTCAGGAAAGGGTGGAGCCGCGTGAGAACGCGCTCGTAAAAACGCGCGGAATCGGCCCAAAAATTGGCTGGTTAACAAAAAACTGGGGAAAAGGGGGATGCAAAGGAGAGAAAATGGCGCCTTGTCTTTCGTGGTGAACGCGCACCTGGAGGGCCCAACGAGGTTTCCGATGTCTCGGGACTCACACACGGATATGGATTTCTTCCCAAAAAGGGTGGAACCAGATGTGTCTCCCCGAAATCGAGGGAAATCACCCCAAAAATCCTTCCCCCTCCCCTGGATCGGGCCCGACGTGGGGCCCGATCTTCTCACGGCGAGTGGAGGACAAAAAGGTGAAAAAATCGGAAGGGGACATCGAGCGAGGGATGCAAATTTTTCGAGAAAGGTGGAAACCCTCGCTTACCTGCCCGCTTTTTTGGGCCCTATAAGGGCGAGGAGGGGGGACTGCCAACCGAAATTTCATAGGAAGTCCTGGAAGCTACCAGGGGATGGGCCCTACCTGCTCTTCTTGGATTTTTTTACGATTTTGGGGGAATCTGGCCCAGGTACACTCGCGGGCCCAGGGGAGCGTGGGGCCCATTGGACCCTCGGACTTTTTTCACAATTTTTCTATGCTCGCCAGAGTGATCTCTACCTGTCAGGGGCTTTATGGGATGTACGGAAGCGCATCCCCCTCGATCGGGCCCGGGGCCTTACGGGGCCTTTTCGGGCCCGAAATCCGCGGGATGAGAAAATCCGCCGAGCCGATGCTAAGCAATTTTTTCTTCCTCCTCCACCTTTTTCTCTCGAAAATTCGGCTTTTTTCTCCCGGAAGGTCGGCGACCTCCGAGTAGAGGTTAGGATGGGCCTCACCTTTCCCACAAGTCCCAATATTCTATCTTCTACCCCACTTATTTAAACATATATATTTTTCTCTCCCTACTTCAATGGCCATCATTCATTTTATATATGCATCGGGAAGTTGGAACGCGATTGTTTAGTATTAATTTTCATGTCGCCGATATTGCGGGGATTCTGGGCTGGGAATATTTTCTTTCAAAGGGAAACCCGGTTAACCCTTTACCAGGGTGGACGCGTGCACGCCATTTTTACGGCACCGGTTACGCCTCGTAAAGCCCGCAAAAGGGATTACGTCCTCGGTGTGTCGAAATAATTATAATTAAAAACCGTTACTCTGCCCGCAAGCGCCGGTTTTGCCGATCAATGGGGATTCGGTTCCGCGCCATTACAGGTAAAACGCGGCGCGCGTTATGCTTTCCGAAAAGAAGGCGCGAGAAAGAGAGGGCAGTATACTCCGAAGCGCGCGAAAGAAAAGGACGCAGATACCCACTGCGAACTAGACCAAGAGAGAAGCAGAAAAACGGTGGAAAACCTCGTTAGCAGCGTTGAGAGGAAGAAACGAAAAAACGGAAGATAATCAGAGATGATCTAAATCTAAAGGCCGAAACATTCAGATCCTGAAAAAAAAAATCAGCCCGCAATATGGAATAATCCAGAAATATATATAGAATAAATTGAATAGGAAATTAAAACAATGGGTAATCAGAGGGAGAAACCTTTTTTGTTTAATAGCATTTTATGAGGGAAGAAAGAGAAGGTTCACGGGAGAGAATGAGAGATAGAGACGAACGCATTCCGCGCGAGGAAAAAGAGAAAACGGCGCAGGGAGCGGGGAAGAGAGAGGAAAGCATAGGGGCGGGGAGGGGTGCGAGGGAGACCGTCATAAGATCCGATGATGGATGCCGAAGGGTTGCCTCGCCGCAGGGGTGGGGAGCCGGCCCGCCGTGAAAGGGTTCCAGAGCGCCGACCAATCAGAGCGCGGGACGCCCGCGCCTCGGCCAATCGCGCGCCGCCTGCCGGGCCGCCGGGTGGGGGTAGCTCACCCTTAGCGCTACCGGAATAACGCGGCAGCGCGTTGCGTCACTCCGACATTCGCTCCGTGTCCGTCGGGAGAGGAGCACGGGAGAGGGAGAGCCTGCCGGAATATTATAATTACCTGCTCGTTACCAAATACTTATAACTTGGAAAACAAATCTCATTTAAATATTCACGGCTCATTTGAATACCGCGTAACTAAATACCCATGAAATTCGGTAAACCGCTGTAAAATATTCTCTAAATTACCGGACGATTCAATTCCTACCGATAATTCGTGAAAGTGCGTTGTCGACTGGCGGTTTTCAATTCTCTTGGGGAAATTTATTCCTTTCAGGAGTTTTCTTTTTTTTTCCATTTAAAAAAGAAATTCACTTTTTGGGGGGAGCTGTGCGCGAATGGGGGTGGAGGTGGATCGCCGGTCGATGATCGACGGGTAGGACGATTTCCGCGAGTGATAAGGGCCTGTTTATCGCTTCGACGGCCTGGATCTCGGGGGCGGCTTCCATGTGACGAAGGAGAGCGACCTAAAGATGGTCTTCCTCGAAAATCCGAGGATGATCTTCACGGACATGCGCCTACATGCTACCAGCACGCCCACGACCATTCCTACGCGGTACCAGCGTCGCCGGAAGTACAGGCCGCAGAATAACAACGACTGTACGATTTACATATAAATTGTGCCCTGATATTTCGACGGTTCCCCAAAAAAAAGAGAAAAAAAAATCGGGATGTCAATGGCGAAGAAATCAGTGCGGAATTACTCCGGATGAACGAAAATAAGAAAATCACATCATTCACTAGGAAACTCATAATTAATCCCGAATTGCGAATACATCGCCGATCGTCGATTTTAATCGACGAATTCTGATAAAATCTCTTGTCTTCCTCCGAATTCAAATTTCGTATTTTTATATCATTGATACCTGTTTTTTATTTTCCAGATGCCGACCTCCATGGAGACGTCGACGGTCCCGAGCTCAGCGGGGACGAACGGAGCATCGCCAGCGACATGCAGGATGCCAACGAGGCGAACCTGGACCACGACTCCATGGACTCGGACAGGGAGGCGCTCAACCTGGTTGGTAGAAGATAAAAGAGATATCAAAATACGAAACTCAAGGGAACGAAAAAAAAGAAAAAAGACCCCAAAAAATTCCACAAAGAATTATATTACATTATTTCGTGTACCCTAGACGTTGATTTTCATTTTTTTTGTCACGTGGAGATTTCTTCCCGAAATCGGCAAAAGAGGCCGACGGGATTCCCAGGCAAGGGGGGCGTAAAATCAAGAAAAGGTCTCGAAGGTCAGAAATAGGGGAAGATCTCGATCGGGGCATTTTCGGGGGCGGAGGGGGGGGTTCGATTGTCATTCGGTGAAAAAGTGGCCCTTCCTCAAAGGGACATCTGTTGGCCGAGACGTCCCCGGTTTCGGGAGGGAGTTCCTCCTGGAGGTTCCTTGGAGGTGCCCCTCCACCCTCGCCCTCTTGAGGGGGAGGCGGAGGGTAAAAAGTGGACGAGCTCGATATTTGGCAAATAAATATAAGGAGGGACGCGGACGCCGGGGCGGTAAAACACAAAGGACGGGGACCGAAGTGACCAGTGTCCTGGGGGTGGGGGGTAAACATCCCCTTTGTCGGATAATATTGCAGCCCTTGACTTTACGTTTCCTCGCGTTTCCTTCCTGGAAATCCGTCTTCGGGATGGAGATCCTATTTATTCTGCGAAATTGCTGCCGGTCAGTTTGGGGGGAGGAATTTTCTCTTTTTTTCTTTTTTATGGATTTTCTTGGGGGAAGAGGGGTACCTACGATCGAACGTCGAAGGGGTGGGTATCGTTGAGATGTCTGATCGTCGGGGGATAATTTTATTTTCTATTTTCTGGATCCTCTTAAAAAATGAAGGGTTGAATTTAAGCGGGTCGGGAATTTTGGTCCAATGCTCGATAGCGTGAAAATTCTTTTTCCTTGGGTTACGATTAATTCCTAAAAATGTCTTAATATTCGGAGAAAATTCCATGTAAATTTCTGGTAATTCTTGAAAACGAATGGAAATTTTTTCTAATATCGGGAGATGGTAGGCTAGAGGGGGTCCCTGAGGATTCTGAATGACAGGCGGGAAACGCGTTCAACAGGAAAATTCTTTTTCCTTGGGTTAGAAATAATTCCTAAAAATGTCTTAATATTCGGAGAAAATTCCATGTAAATTTCTGGTAATTCTTGAAAACGAATGGAAATTTTTTCTAATATCGGGAGATGGTAGGCTAGAGGGGGTCCCTGAGGATTCTGAATGACAGGCGGGAAACGCGTTCAACAGGTCACGGACGTTTCGCAGCGCAACAGCAGCAGCGGGACCAGCGGAAGCGCGTCGTCGCCAGGGTCCGGGACGAGCAGTCAGCTGACCGGGAGCCACCCTGGGAACACCGGGACCTCCCAAGCCGCCCTGGCTGCCCAGCTCGTCGGCCAGCAGCTACTTATGCACGGCTCCCTCGGGACCCTCAGCCCTCAGGAGATCCAGGCCCTCGCCTCGACGCTGCAGCAGCAACAGCAGTCCCTGCAGCAGCAACTCCAGCAGTTCGCCATGTTCCAGCAGGCCAACCCCGCTGCAGCAGGGCAGCTTCCCGCGCAGGCGCAGTTCTTCCTGCAGAACCAGGTGGGTGGGCTCGAATTCAAGGAAGGAAACATAAAAAATGTGGAATTAGAAAATCCTCTCATCTCCCCAGAAATTAAAATCAAGAGGGATTCAACAATCGTTTATAACATTAATTCGTGAATTGGACGAGATTAAAAAAAAAATAACGCGAGGAAGGGAAAAAGAAATCGATTGAAATTATTTTATGGGATTTATTAACGCTAGTTGAGATTAATCAGGATTTAATGGGAGAACATTGGTCTGGGGGTTTGTTAGGGCGAGAAATAAAATTCAACCAGCCTTGTCTTTTTTTTTTATTTCTTTTTTTGGGAGGGGCTTTGGTTTTGTCCGCGTAAGAACGCGCCACCCCCGAGGACTCGATTGAGGGTCCTGGTGAAAGGGTGGAGTTGAATGAGAGGAAGGGAAAGAGGGAAAGGAAAAAAAATGTGTTTCTGCCGATTTTCGGGGGATTTGGGAAGTCTCATCTCCCCTGTTTCGGAGGCTGCGACACGACGCGAGGCGCAACAGAACAACTTTATGCCCAGGATTAAGGGCCCGGTTTCGGGGGCTGGGGCCTCCTCGCGACGGGGCTGAAAGAAAATCCAGGAGGGAAAATGCATCCCTCCGGCACCTTGCCTGTTGTGGGCGCCATTGTTGCGTCACACGTGGCCGAGGGTTAAGATGGGATCCGAAAGCGTGGCAACCCCTCTTGTCTGTTTCGTTGTTTCCTCCCGACCCTCGTAAGAACGTGCGCCCTCTCGCCGGAAGATTCAACCCCTTTTCGAGGGAGGACCCGACCTGCCCCAACCCCTTCGCACGCGACCGCACGCGTCGGGGAGGTAACCCCCCTTTAAGGAGTATTTCCAATATTCATAATTATTAATTTCCACACATGCCTAAATAGCTTAAAAAAGTGACGATTAAGCAATCACCTTAAGGTGGCTCCGAAGTGCATATCTCATTTTTTCAATTTTTCGGTTCTACCGCCCCCCAATATTTTCCCCGAGAATTTTATGATATATGATTCCAGAGAATTTTATACGGGATCTAATAACTGAATGTGAGTGTTAATACTGGATTTGTTAAAATTAAAATGGGGATCGAGATTGAAAAGTCATATCTCAGAATGTCAAAGGGATTAAATAAGGGGGTGTGATTTTTTTTTTCTCGTGGTTATTTATAATATGTCGGATAGGGTGATCTCTAGTGGATATTAATTGCATATCGATACATGTCGCGTTGATCCAGGTCAGGGATTGAGAAGTCAGCCTTCACCCTTAACCCTTTCCAGGCCCTCGGGATGCAAAGCGAATGCCTCTTTAATTCGGGTTTCATTCCTTCGGGGGTTGAAGAGAGGTTAACCGGGACAGAAGTCACCCCTTTCGGCGGCTCTCCTGGAATTTTATTTACGGGGGTCGTACCTGTGCACCCCTCGCGCGTGCCTCCCCCCCTGGATTTTATCTCCATAAATAAGCATATAAGCGGCCGCTTCTCAGAGACACGTGCCCTGAAGAGCCCTTTTTTTTTCGCCGAAGGGTGCCGAGCAACCCTTTCTCGGACTTTCCGCCCAAGGAGAGGGCGCAGATAATCGATTTAAAGTGGCACCCCTTTCCCTATTCATACTTGACATGCACGCGACTCCATTCATCGGGGTTGCTGTTCCTGTCGTGTCTTTCAAACCGACTCGACATCCTGACAGGTCTGCGGGGTGATTTCTTAAGTGGGAATTAAAAAATCATCCCCTCGACCCAATCGCTCGCTGACTTAGTTCAGGCAAGAGGAAGGAATCATATATCGCGGGAAATAACATTTTCTATGGTATTAGGAAAAATTGTTTTTTTTTAGTACAGACGGTAAAATTTACATTAGGGGAGAAATTTAAATGTAGATTTATTAAAAACATTAAGAAAATCAACGATTGTCTTGCAGGGGCTGTTGCAGAGCGGTGGCTACCCCCAGAGACCGAGTCATCCGCGCTCCCAGTCCATGCAGGTACGGTCTTATCACTCGGGTGTTAAAATATAAGGGATGCGTCGAAATATGATATCCGGTATGGTCGGAAGATTTAGAGAATGACCAATCCGTGTATACTTCGAAAGGAAAACCAATTCGAAATGAAGGGTGGACGAAAATTCGGGAATTTAGAATTGAGGCTACCCCCAGAGACCGAGTCATCCGCGCTCCCAGTCCATGCAGGTACGGTCTTATCATTCGGGTGTTAAAATATAAGGGATGCGTCGAAATATCATATCCGGTATGGTCGGAAGATTTAGAGAATGAACAATCCGTGTATACTTCGAAAGGAAAACCAATTCGAAATGAAGGGTGGACGAAAATTCGGGAATTTAGAATTGAGAAGTTTTCGAGGTATTTAGGAGGGCCATTATCCGCAGGTGCAGCAGGCGGTCGCCCAGGCAGCCCAGCAGTTGCAAGCCCTCCAAAAGCAGCAAGCTCTTCAGGGTGGAGGAGGCCTCGTGGGGAGGACCTTGTCGCAGCAGAGATCACCTCCACCCCCCGGCACCCCACCCGCGGTGAAACCACCCCCCGCGAGGCTGGAACCTTCGCCCGAGGAGACGACCGACCTCGAAGAGCTCGAACAGTTCGCGAAAACCTTCAAGCAACGCAGAATCAAGCTCGGCTTCACCCAGGGCGACGTTGGCCTCGCCATGGGGAAGCTTTATGGAAACGACTTTTCCCAGACTACCATATCGAGGTGTGAAAAATTAAACGATAATCCTCCCCGAGTGACACTTTGCGTGAAGTTGAATTTCCACCGCGAAGCTTCTTCGGCAACTGTAAATTCGATCCTAAGGTCACTTTTCGATTTTTAATATTAAATCGGGATTAAGAGTCGCTGAAGAAGCGTCAAGTGCTGCAGAAGAGACCGCGGGACTTTTCTGGTTTTTTATTTTTTTTTTCTTTTTTTTTGGTCTTGTCATAAAAATGTCAAAAAGCGAAGTTTGGGATTTTTCTTCGGGTTTTATTTACCTAATTTTGTGGTTTTTTTACCCTCAGGTTCGAGGCCCTTAACCTCTCCTTCAAGAACATGTGCAAGCTGAAGCCGCTGCTGCAGAAGTGGCTGGAGGATGCGGATAATTCCCTAAATAACCCTAACTCTCTGTCGAACCCTTTGACCACGCCGGAAGCGATCGGCAGGAGGCGGAAGAAGAGGACGTCGATAGAGACCAGCGTCAGGGTGGCGTTGGAAAAGTCCTTCGTCCAGAATCCGAAGCCCACCTCGGAGGAGATCACCATCCTCGCGGATAGCCTCGCGATGGAGAAGGAGGTCGTCAGAGTCTGGTTCTGCAACAGGTATGCCCTGACCTACACTAACGATAAATATATCCCTAAAATTAATAACTTCATCAAACAATTAATCACGAAACCGGATCGATTGTCCTAGAACTAGGAGACGATTAAGGAGTAATTCTAAAAAAAAAATACTCTTCAACTATCGCATTAATTAATTAGACGCATTAAAGTCGATTTTCAAGAAATGCTCTTCGGCTTCATTTAATGCGAATTTTCAAATTTCCCGCTAATTACCTACAAATTTTATTTTCGATTCCTCATTGGACAGAAGAGTAAAACTTTCCTAATCGTTGTCATAGAAATAGAAGATATTTAAGGGGCGGTTCTAACGAGTGCTCTTCAACTTCAGACGACAGAAGGAGAAGCGAATCAACCCGCCCACGGCAGCAATGGGGAGTCCGACAATGGCATCTCCGGCACCCTCGGTCTTCGCCTCGTTGGCCAGCTCCATGTCAGGAAGTCCCCTGGCCCTGACGACGCACTCTTCAGGGATGCATTCCCATTCGCACCCGACCCCCCTGGGCTCCCCTCTGCCCCTGGCCCTGGTGGCCTCAGCGGGGGGCAATTACCACCCCCTCAGCGGGAAGTCCAACGAGTGACACCAGCCCGCGACCCAGCAGGGTGACGCTCTCTACCATCATCAACACCACCAACGTCATCACCATCAGCGACGACTGTGCAATCTATCCGAGTACTACCACTGAGCCAACCGAGTCTTCCGGGTCGCGGGTCCAGGGCGAGGAGAGATCGGGCTTAGCCATGTAGCAGGGCCTCCACCGGAGGATCCATTCCCGAAGACCATCCAGGACTCTTCGGCGCCATGAAGTCCCGAGATTTGTCGGTCCATCTACGTAGAACTTAAACCCAGGGATGGATTTCTCGACGGGGGTGGGAAGCAGGTGAAGGAGACCCGGACGATCCCTGGTACCTGGTGACGTGGACCCAGCATCTTCAGAGTTTGGTATGACGCCAAACGCTGAGGGTCTGTCCACGTTGTCCGTAGAATTTAAATCGAGGCTGGGATGAATTACTCGACCGGGACCACGGGGGTGGAAACCAGGTGAAGACGACCCGGACGATCCCTGGTACCTGGTGACGTGGACCCAGCATCTTCAGAGTTTGGTATGACGCCAAACGCTGAGGGTCTGTCCATGTTGTCCGTAGAATTTAAATCGAGGCTGGGATGGATTACTCGACCGGGACCACGGGGGTGGAAACCAGGTGAAGACGACCCGGACGATCCCTGGTACCTGGTGACGTGGACCCAGCATCTTCAGAGTTTGGTATGACGCCAAACGCTGAGGGTCTGTCCATGTTGTCCGTAGAATTTAAATCGAGGCTGGGATGGATTTCTCGACCGGGACCACGGGGGTGGAAACCAGGTGAGGAAGACCCGGACGATCCCTGGTACCTGGTGACGTGGACCCAGCGTCTTCAGAGTTTGGTATGACGCCAAACGCTGAGGGTCTGTCCATGTTGTCCGTAGAACTTAAATCGAGGCTGGGATGGATTCCTCGACCGGGACCACGGGGGTGGAAACCAGGTGAAGAAGACCCGGACGATCCCTGGTACCTGGTGACGTGGACCCAGCATCTTGAGAGTTTGGTATGACGCCAAACCCTGGAGGCTCCAGGCGGACTGTGAAGGCTGATGAGATGACGAAGAGACGAGAAAAGGTCCCTGGTTGGAGAACCTCCGAGCTTAGAAAAGACTGATGGTCCCTTCCTCCGTCTTCTTGGCAGCCTTGAGGGGAAATCAGGGAGGGCAACCAAACCCGGGGGGGTTCGAATTCGCTGATACCAAAAAGAAGAGATTCTCTTCGCGGAGAGGAGTCCATCCAACCACCGGTAGGAGAAATGAATCGCCTCGAGGAGTCCTTTCAGTCCCTGAGGAAGGCCTTCCTGAACCATGTCCTCCTCAGGATCGGTGAATTTTAAATTTGCGCGGGATTTTCAAATCATTCTCCCGGGGATTTGGCGAACTTTGCGAATCAATCTCCTGCTGGCTCACAGTCCGGCCCTGAGAACAGTAAGTATATCACTGTAAATAGGTAGTTAAAGGTTGTTAGGTATTATTACGGTTATTATTAACTAATTGATGGTCGAATCGAGATAGAGAATCCCAAAGATCCGCCTCTCGTAGGAAGCTACCCAGAACCTCTCGAATTAGGGCAGGAAACCTCCCAGGCGTCAGGGAACTCCTCTTCGTCGACGGAATATTTCTTAAGGAACTTAAGACGGGATTTTCGAAAATAATTGTTACGCGAATTAATGAGCCGAGTTAACGAAGGATACTTGATCGTTGTTACAAGGATCGTCGGTTACTCGCGGGTCGAGGAGCGAGCGACCCACCCTGTACTGCCGCGCCGAGCACCAAAGGAAAGTCAATTTTCTGTCTGAATTGTACGTTTTAGAGAATCATGCTTCTAACAAATGTTGTTCCTTCGGATGTGAGCTATCAGTTTTGTATGGGCCATTTTTTTCCTGGCGCGCGCGGTTGTGACGGAAATTTGGATTTCTCTTGACGGTGCCGCCGTTCGCGCTTAACGCACAGTGCAGCGCTGTCGGTACTGATTGCAATTTTTTAAATAAAAATTATTAACGCACGATTTATTCAACAATGTACCGTTAATTATCGCTTTCATCGCGCCCATTGTCGATTATCGAAGTGTTCTCACGCCGTTCCTGATGTTATGACCTGGCGATACTAAAGATTGTTAATTAATTATTTTTCCGGAATACCTTCGGCTCTCAATCTTGCAAATAATTGTTATACTGCAGTTTCACTGTTACACGACGTTACAAGGGTTTCATTTCTCTAGCAACAATCGAGGCTTTGTTAATAACTTTAGTGTCGATGCAGATTCCCAGTCTTCCATGGATGTAAAGTTCCTAGAGCATCGAGCTGTCTCATTTTTCTCGACGTTTGTGCATGTCAAGAAGCAATTACTGCTTATAAAAAAAAATAGTAATTCCAATAGTATTCCCCTGGAATTTTTTTCCAAAGAGCGAAATTTTTTGGTAAACCACCCCCAGAAAGAAATAACAATTTTTTGCAATATCACAAATCCGAAATTTCACTCGAAGGGGGATGATCGATACCACGCGATTACCGATAATCCCCCTTCCCCGAAAATCCCCAAATTTAATTTTTAGACGCCCTCCCAATTTTCCACCCCCGAATTTTCAATTTCAATTCCTTTCCCAAGGGAGAACAGTGGTTCCCAAAAATCCAGGAAAATCGGGGACTGAGTTGTAACACCGTAAATAAAAAAAAAAAGGGATCGACAAACCGCCCTCAAAGCCCAAAATCGAAAATCATCAAGCCACCCTTAGGCGCGGGGGTGGATAAAAAAAGAATTCCCTCCCCCGCTTAAGGTCAATTAACGGGAAATATCATCGTAATTTAAGTACGCTTACCCCTGTATATATGTATATGTATACGAGCTAGAGTTAAGGAGGGAACATACATATACATGCATACATGTATAATGTCTGTATAAAAAAAAGTCCTGTAAATAGGGGGAGGTCGTCGAAATTTGGAAAAAAAAAGGAGAAAAGGAAAAATCTCCGACCGACCTCGGCAGTATTACTATCATTACTTCTACGTGTAACTATTAGCCCTCGCTATCACCACTATCACCGTAGTTTGTACATTGTGAGGTGTTTTTTATAGAGACAGTGTACCGCCGTATGTGTGTATAGTTGGTTATATATATATACATATATATATAGCGCGCGGGGGTCTTCAGAAAATCGGGAGGGATCCCTATAAATGTAAAGAATTATATATATATATATATATATACAGTATACGTGTACACGTAGATATGTATTAATATTATACATAGGGAGGTTTCTTATAGTGGCGGCTGGAATACACACTAAGTCCTCTTTTTATGAGCGCACTATTCGAACTATCGAGCCAAGGACCAAGTATAGTTGCGCGTTCGATCGTTATCATTTCCTTCTTTAGTTATATTTTTTTTTCCTCTCTTTGTTTTTTCCTCTTTCTCTTACCTTTCTTCCTTTCTTTCGTGGAAAAAGTTCCTAATGCGAATGCATAGTCTTACTGGGATGCGATATTGCGAGGTCCGCGAAAGAAAGAAAAAAAATAGAAAAGAAATTCAAATTACAAATTTTTTTTTATCTCATCTTTAAACATAAAAATATATCACGTTCAAATTTACCATAAAATTCCAGATAAAGTCCGGTAATTTCGAAGTTAAGCAAGACATTGTGTAAATCCCACATTACGGTATAATTTCTGAGGAAGTGAATTTTAAAATCGGGGTAATTGTAAATGAGATAAATTATTGTTTTATAGAGATGATAGAAATATAGTTAATGGCGGCGTCAAAGGAGATGGTATTTTCATGATTTCGGAGGATTTCGCAATACCGCTTCTCACGTAGAAACAACGTGGGAGGCCGACAGGTAAATCGTGCCTGATAAGGAGGACCGTCGTTATCACGAGATAGAGAGACGAAGAGGGGCTCGGCCGAGGTTTCGGGAGGAGAAAAAGAGATACTCGAGGAGGTTCTCACGGAGGTCCTGTAGATATTTAATAAAAAGGCGCTGTAAATTCCTCCCTCCCTTCCCGGAAACGCGAACCCTTAATCCCCCCACGGCGTAGCAAGTATTATCGCTATTAATTATTTTTATTAATATTATTTCCCCCCCCCCCCCCGTATGTGTTTACTTTTGATTATCTCGAAATATAAGCGACTTAGCGAATCCGAAGTTATCCTTATTATTTCGCCGAACTTCTCCCTGATTATTTTCCTCCCTCCGATCTTCTCCACTCACTCGGGAATTTCATTACTGGCTAATTAGACTCGTGTTATCGGGAATCATTTATTAAACTCCGGGGAATTTAAATACACTTCGTATATGTGCCCATAATTATGAAAGTGGTCTAAGTCATATATTTTTTGTTTCGAAATTACATTGAATTAATTTTGTTTGAAATAATATGGCGTGAAATAACTGATAAACTCATTTTTTTTTTTTAATTTTGACTTTCGTAATTATGGGCACATATCTCGTGGATATATATTAAGGCGGTTAAATTATTTTTTTTATTTCCTTTGTTGTGAAGTTTTAATCTCATTCCGGAAATCCTGCCACGTCCTCGCGCGCAATCTACCCTGTAAATAATGTAAGGTATAATCTCTGAAGTAGCGTGTAATGTACTTGAAACCCGGCACCATGTAACCGCGATAAGTGCCCCGGAAGGTTTTCTAGATGTCACTCTTACGAATTTGCGTAAAAAGAAGAAAAAAAAAATGAAGAAAACGTCGGAGGAAGCGCTCTTAACGGCGCTTCGCGAAAACCCTGCACTCGTTTCTACAGTGAATATCCGCAATCAGGGACGCATTAAACGCGGGAATAATGTCCAAAACTCGAGGAAACACTCGAAAGTGGGACTGGAAGTCGAAAGGAATCGCGAGCGAGGACGATGTGTCTGAAAATATGTGAGAAATCGTCATTCTCGCGGAAGGACGCTATGGCGAAAACAAGATGGCGGCGGGACGCGCCGCGAGAAGTAGTTCTCGGCGGAGGGAAATGGAAATAAATATTCAGGACAGGTAATAGATATGTAAAGAGACAAATTACGCCACTACGTTTCGGCAGTAAGAAATTGCCGGAATTTTGGAAATTTCGCGGGGGCGGGAGGGGCGGTGGAAATTCGAAAACGAGCGGTTTTCCAGAGCACGGTATGACAGTTCTTAGGAATGATGGACTCGCCCGGCGACTCTTTCGACGAGTTATTCGTTATTTTGTACTAATTGTAAGTGTTGTACGCGCCTTTACTCGCGAATTAAGGGGATGATAATAAGCGAGGCGAAATTTCTCGAGGCGTTTAGGAGGGAACCCTTTTTCGGACCCTTTCGGGTCTTTCCGGCTCGAGGCGGTGTATAAATAAAGTCATATCAATCGTAACGGATTAATTGATTACTAATCTAGGGTAATGATAGGTACATCACGCCGTGATCGATATCGTTTTACCGTTCACTCTATACGACTGGTATATTGTTGCGATTGCGTTCACGGGTGCAGGGACGACGTTAAGGGTAACGTTAAAAAATTAATATCGTTATGATTAGTGAAAATTTCTGACGCGTATATTTTTCTTTTTGTGGAATCCTCAGTGCCGCTTTTTTTTTTCGAGAATTTTTAAAACGGGATAATTAGATGCAGATTGTTGGTTAGGATTTTAATGGTATCTTGCTGATGGTGGAATTTTTAGAAATGGCAAGAATAGGGGGAAATTTTTTTATTACTCGGGGAGGATACGGAGAGGTCAGGCCGATAACGTCATTGTTGCACCCGTACACCCAATTGTACATAATAAATGGCGACATAAAGAAATAGATTATCTCTCTGTCTTTTCGTGTCTCATGTCTTTCATCCTCTCGATCTCCATGTCATTTCTGATTTAATTTTAATAGTCACACAATTTTTGGTATCATTTAAACAGTCCCAATCCATTACATACTATATATTCGTATGCTACGGTGAATTATCGAATCTTTTATAATTTTTTAAGATAAACAGCTCCAATCGACTTCTGAACGTTACTTTGTCTGCAGTACACCCCTAAAAAAAAAACAACCAACGGTGATATTTTTTAGACAACGTTCGACTTGAGATTTTTTTCGTAATCGATTGGATGGACTGTTTTATTTATTTATTTACAATTTCATTAACGCGCTTCTTCACCCGTTGATTTCTTCGGCTTAAGTCCGCCCCCGCCATCTTGCGGAAATTCTTCGAAACGCCTCAAAGTTCTTCAGTTGATGCAACAGATTCCTGCAATGCCAATATCCATAGGAGGTACGTATCGATGCATAGGATCACATTTTAAAGTTCTTCAGTTGACACAACAGGAACCTGCATTGATAATATCGACAGGAGGTAAGTATCAATTCACAGGACCACGTCTGGTAATTTCCAAAATTCACTCCCAGCAGATAACTTCCCAACAAGCGATATATTTCCCCGAGAGGATAAAATTCTGCTCCGTAACGCCGACCGTACCTGAAATTGAAAGTCGATTAACAAATCTGCACCACCTGAGACAATATCCATTTTCAACCGATAACTTCCCTCCAAACGGAACATTTTCGACACAGCGATGGGAATACAGCATCCAAGATGGCGCCACTATGCAACTTCCCTCGAACCCGCGAAAGGGTAAAGTTCCGCTCTGCAATTCCAACCCTACTCGAAATGGAAAGTTAATTAACAAATCTTCCCCCCCTTCATACAACAATATTCACTACTCCGCTTAATAAAACATTAATAAAAATTTCTAAATCCGTGCACGGTCGAATAATCCCGAGATTCATTAAAACGATGCCTTAAAATAAAGACCGCCGCGCGTCCGCCATCTTGTTTAGCGCCAATTTCGTAGAGTTCCGCGTCCTTCCCCTTCCTCGCGGGTTTTCTCGACGTAGCAAGTTTTCTCGCGTCGCGATCCTCGCATTTCCTGCCGGAAGATAAACGAGCATTGTCTCTCTCTTTGTCCCCAGGAAAAAAGTGGAGCACGGCGTGAACGTAGCGTCGCATTTCCGGTGGACCCGGCCCATCGGAAACGACTCGTTGGAGGTCGCTCGAACTCGCCGAATGCGATTGCGATGCATGTCGCCACATCTGGCGGATGCACTGGACGATAATTCCGGGGATAAGGGCGATTAATTCGCCGATGGGATAATCTCATTGCATTCTATTAGGCTCGTACCGCGGTGTCCGAGCACGCGCCATATTGAATGGCTTAGAAGGGGAGGGCGGGAATTTCAAGTTTATCCGTTAAACGCATTAAACGCACAGTACGGTCCCCATTACGCCGCTAATTGTCGAACCGGTTGTCGGTTGCGAGGGGCCCAGAAAATCGGTTATTGCCACCGAGGGCGCCGCCATATTGGCAAACTCTGCGCCGCAATAGTTTAGATGTTAACGGCCGCTAACGGCCGATGAATACCGCCCTCTGTTAAGGAGAATGAACTCTCGGCCGGATCTTTTTTATATCCAGCAATTAAATTAGTAGACCGGCCGTCCAGCGAGGAACAAAATGCCGGCGCAGCAAGTGGACCGATGGAGACTTAGACTCCCGAAAATAGAACCGAGATTTAGTTCCGCTTACCTGGAGACAGATATCGCCCTTTGCGAGTTTCATTGATATCCATGTGTAGATATAAAAATAATATGGAATTTAGATGAGATGGGGAAACGTCGATGATCTCGGAGATACGTTGAAAAATTGCAATATTCATTGTAAACCCTTTTCTACAACGCGCAATTCATTCTCAACTATTCCAATTCCGGCCTTTCTCTCACGCTTGGCTAACGCGTAGTACTAGGTAGCTCTGTCTCCTTCTCTCCCGTGGTCGCCCGTATCGGTGGCTCCCTCTCCCTCTTCTCTCTATCTCGCACCCAAGTCCGCACTTTATACCTAGAGAGGGTCTCTTCGTCTGCCCCGGTGCACGTGCACTCGCCGGTGCAGCCGTACCTAGATCCGGTTGGTCCGGTGCTAGAGTATCGACTCGCGACCGAGTGCCTCTCCCCTCTCTCTCCCTCTCGGCCGCCGCGCCGATCCGACCTCTCTCTCCCGCGCGGGATTGTCGTCGCGCGCCGGCGCGTTTACGGGCGACTTCCCCACGCCCGGCCCCGGGAATATGAGCCTTACGCTCGCGCGCCGCACTACGCATGCTCATCGAACTCAGGGCCGCTTTATGTCTTCCCAGTGCCCCGAAAAATTCGAAAAAAAATATCCAACTACTAAAGAGAGCCGTAAACGTCGCCAGGACCTGGAAAAAAAATTATATTGCCACTTCTGCGTATGGAAATGGGAAAGTGAATCTCTGTTTACGGAATCTCTCTGTGCAGGCCGATGATGTATAACCGCGATGACTGTACCTCGAAGGAGAACATTGCGAAACTCCGGCTCTCTAGGCTCGTCGTGTGTCATTACTCGCGAATTGCCGCGATTATCCCCAGACCTGATACTTCTGGGAAAACGGCGAATATTCCAGCCAAGAAAGAATCGCCTCCTTTCTCCGGCCGAGTGGACGACTCCCGCCGAAATAGAGCGTCTTGCCCAAATTGGCCGCCATTTTGAGAAAAAAAAAGAAATGATTCCTCTGAATACATCGCGCGATCGCAGCTCCTCAATCTCATATTTAATTTACATTTAAACTCCCCGAGGGAGGATAACTGATATTTTTTTTTTTAATTCAATTTCACAGATAAACGTGAAGGATTTTCGGCGATGGTTAAAAAAAAAAGGAGGACCAAAAAGCGCCGGGAAAATCGTCCGTAAAAGCCAGCGGCAGTTACGCCGGCTCTTTGTCGTCATTCCTCCTCTCTCCACAGTTCCTTTACTACAAGGCCTAGCCAGGAGGTTCTCGCTCTTATCACAAAGGAGCGCGAAACTCGAGCTCAGTCACTCCGACGAGGACGTCTAAACTCACACGAGACTCCCGAGAAAAAGCGGTTAAAAAACGCAACCAAGCCTGACCAAGCAACCCGTCCTCCACCACTCACCTCCCGAAGGCGATCCGTCAGCAGAAAGTGTCTGACAATGCGTTAAACGAGCTCCATCCTCGATTCTGAAATACCTCAGAAAGCACATCCTCGGAAAATAATTTTCAACGAAACGACGAAAGACACCGGATGACAGCCTTAAAAGTATCACTAGATACCCATAACGGATATATATAACGATTAAAAATGATATACGATAGGTTCCAGGAGCAAGAGCTGACGAGGTGGAGGAGAGTGGCGCTCGCGAGAGGGGAGTTCCACTTTCCTCCGCGCGCGGTGAGTTCCACTTTCCTCGGCGCGCGGTGAGTTCCACTTTTCGCGGCGCGCGGTCGAATCAGGAGTCTCCGCGGGAGGGGTGGGGAGAGCGGAGAGCTCAGCGAGGAGAAGGGGGAGGGGAGCGGCGAGCTCAGCGAGGGGGAGGGGGAGGAGAGCTAGGGTCGCAAAGTACGGCCCTGGCTCGCTTTATTCGAGGCGGGCGGTCGGTCGAGGAGCCTCGAGCAGCTCCGGCAGAGCGGCAGTCAGCTGATTTTGACGTTCGTGCGGGTCCAGGACGGTCGGGTTCGGTGCGCACCCCGGAGTGAAGTGGCCGAGGACGAAGGTCGCTGGACGCAGCGGGTCCAGAGTAGGGGGACCGCGAGAAGCCCTACCCTAACCCTGCGGAACCTCTCCGGACCCTGGGGGAAGAAAGTGAGACCAGTTGGGTGGCAGTGCGCGTCCGTGGCTGGTCGGTCGACGACTACCTGGGTCGGGGCCGAGTTGGAAGCCAGAACCAGCTCAGGTTATCGTAAGCTCCTGGGGGTTGGGCACGCGATCGACTCCTGGATACGTAGACTTCCTAGGGTATCTTCCACCTGCCTGAGAAACCTCGGACCACACACCTTGGAAAGTCTCAGGGACTAAACGCTTCCCTGGGATTTTCGGGAACCCTCCAGATTCTTCGACCTCGGGCAGGGTTTCGGTATATCGGACTCCTAGAGACATCTGCCTCGACGGGGAATGAGGCAGCCGTCGACGACGCTCCTTCCTAGGGCGGTGAGTGCTCAGGGCCTGCGCTTGGGGTGAGACCACTCTGGGGACAACAAAGGAAACGCCTCGCGAGGAACGATAGGTTATATTTATGTTGAGGTTCTACTGGGATTGTGTCGACATTATGTGGACATTGTGTCGTCATGTCGAGGTATATATCGAAATATTTTCCCTAGACCCCCTGAGGTCCGGTTTATATCTTGGCATTGCCCATGACGCTTCGTGGGATGTCCCAAGACCTAGGCGTCGTGCGCCCTGGGGGCAGAAGCTGGAAGAGGACTGTCATGGTGGCGGGGTCGCTTGGTTTTGTTTCCATACCAATGGGGCGAGCTTGGATCGACGGGACGCTGGTGGTTTTGCGTTTTTTAAACCCTGATCTCCTCGGGATGGGATGTGGTTTTCGACGACGCTGGGTGGTTGCGGTTATGGCCGTGGCTCAGGTTGGTGGGGCAGGTCTCGTCCAGGGTGACGGTTTGGCGCAGGCTCTTTGTCCTCGGGAATGGAGAATGGGATCGTTCCGAGGTGGTTTCTGAAAGCCGGGGATTTTGATAGCCCAACGTTGAGAATTATGGTACTAGAGGAGGTTAGGTCGTCGGTACATGTTTCGCTCATGGGAACGTTTGCTATGTCGGAGAATTAAAACGTTTTGAGAGAAAATTGGATCGAAATCGTGCTCTACTCGAGGTTTCTAAATAATGCCCTGAATGAACTTCATTGATAATTCTCGATCTTTCGACGTTCTTGTTCTCCCGATATTTCTCACTGGTCACCTATGGATATTTAATAATATCGCTTAATAACTGATAAAATCCCGAAAACGCGTGGGTGGAGTAAGTCTGAGTATCCATCTCCAGCCACCACTGTGCACATTTTTTTTTTCACTGGTCACCTCTCGATGGATTTTACACATCATCGGGGGAAAAAACACCTCGCTAAATAATCACTCGACGTTCTTGTTCTTCCGATATTTCTCACTGGTCACCTATGGATATTTAATAATATCGCTTAATAACTGATGAAATCCCGAAAATGCGTGGGTGGAGTAAGTCTGAGTATCCATCTCCAGTCACCACTGTGCACGGATATTTTTTTCACTGATCACCTCTCGATGGATTTTAAACATCATCGGGAGAAAAAAAAATCACTCGACGTTCTTGTTCTCCCGATATTTCTCACTGGTCACCTGTGGATATTTAATAATATCGCTTAATAATTGATAAAATCCCGAAAAGGCGTGGGTGGAGTAAGTCTGAGTATCCATCTCCAGCCACCACTGTGCACGGATACTTTTTTCACTGATCACCTCTCGATGGATTTTAAACATCATCGGGGGAAAAAAAAGCCTAAATAATCACTGAAATCGCGAAAAGGCGTGGGCGAGGTAAGCCTGGGGAAGCCATCTCAAAGAGGGCAGCTTTCCTCGTAACGCTTTATTTCTGGAGTGAACTTTCGCGGGCCTCGAATATCTCCCACGCCCTATCTCTCCGCACTTTTTCCCCCGCAATTTAGAGGTTACGTATGATCTCCCAACGCCCCCCCGTTCCTTCATTTTTTATCCCCGGTTTTAAGACCTCATTGTCCTCGTTTGACAAAGTGCACACGAGGCTACTGTTGCGGATTGAATGTCGATAATCCAGAGCTGTCCTGCGTGGACGAGACGCCGGACAAAGGAAGGACGAAGAAGCGCTCCTAAGGGAGCGAGAGAGATGGACGGAATCGGATGTCGATTGGGAAGAGAGAGAGGGAACGCGAGTATGCAGATTATGTGCAGAAGGGCACTGTTGTCGGGCATGCATCAAGGACGGGCCCCCTCGTGCATAACAATTGGGAATTTAGGCAAATTTTCGGACTCCTGACGTCATACATCCCTGGCAGGAAACGCCGGTTGTTAATTGACTTTGGACGTCTTATTTTCAATATTCCTTTACCTCGGATATTCTTTCTCGAGGTCTTTCATTACGATTACTTCCTCGTGGGTTCACTTCCTAGCGGATATTCAATCACTGCGGAACAATGCCACGACGTGATTGGAATCGATGGATGACCAATCGAGTTATCAATTGGCATATTATTTACTCTTCAATTTTGCAATCTCTTTTTTTTGCTCCGACAGTGACTTTACTTCTTATCGGGTTAAGGTTTCAATGATTTCCCGATGGCAAGAAGACGTGGTCGGATTTAATTTTTGGGTTGATTTATTATTGAATTCTCAATTTTTTATTCTTTTTTGGGGGGGCCGGTATTTGAGGTCCTTATCGGTTACGATTATTTCTTCGTGCATTTGCTTCGTATCGATTCGGAGGTTCAATGAATTTGCACCGGAGACGTGATCGGAATCGATCGATGACCAATCCCACGTCATCGAGTCCTCCTTGAATACGTTTCCCGGGTTTNTTTTGGGGGGCCGATATTTGAGGTCCTTATCAGTTACGATTATTTCTTCGTGCATTTGCTTCGTATCGATTCGGAGGTTCAATGAATTAATTTTTTGATTGATTTATTATTGAATTCTCAATTTTTTATTCTTTTTTGGGGGGGCCGGTATTTGAGGTCCTTATCAGTTACGATTATTTCTTCGTGCATTTGCTTCGTATCGATTCGGAGGTACAATGAATTAATTTTTTTATTGATTTATTATTGAATTCTCAATTTTTTATTCTTTTTTGGGGGGGCCGGTATTTGAGGTCCTTATCGGTTGCGATTATTTCTTCGTGCATTTGCTTCGTATCGATTCGGAGGTTCAATGAATTTGCACCGGAGACGTGATCGGAATCGATCGATGACCAATCCCACGTCATCGAGTCCTCCTTGAATACGTTTCCCGGGTTTTCCATCCTCTCCGGAGATGCGATGACTCCGAATGATAACCCGAGTGATGCATTCGCGGAATTGCGGCTCCTTGCACGCCACGCACCTCAATAAGTGCAATTACAGGGGTTAATTCCGTAGATAATAGTGGCCTCGAGGAACTCCTCGAAAACTTGCCGAATGAGCTACATGATCTCTAACTTTCGTTTCCCTCAATTTTACCATGACAATTGCAATCTTGTTGAAAAAAGACATTGAAAAAAAAATGGTAAAAAACAGTCTAAGAGGATTTATTTAATTTTCTTCACTTCATTCGGACCTTCTGCCATGTCCAACGAGGTCGGGAAAAATTGATTAACAAATAAATTAAATGCTGTTAATCATGAAATTTTGTTAATCGCGACAGATGTAACTTTTCGTGATGCTCGACATTTGAGACTCGTTAGAAAAAAAATATTGGGAATAGGTTCGAAGGGGGCTCTTGTAATTTTTTTTTCTTTTTTTAATTAATTCGGACTTTCCACCATGTCGACCGAGGTCGGGGATAAAAAAAAAATGGGCCTCCCTCGTCGTCGTCGCACGTTAATTTTCGACGACACTCGGCCTGTAATGTCACTTCAGGTTCACCGAGGTCAATCATTCGATGTCTGCTTTGCCAATGAAATTTCTGCCCGCCCCTTTGTGCCCGTCAATGTTGGCGATCAACTGTGCAATTCAAGCACATATATATAGGTGCTCGTTACATATAAGTGAGAAATGTGTCGCTGGGAATTGAATCGCCGAATTCGAATCGGATTATTCGCGTCGAAAATAGGGGAAAAAAAAATTGAGGGGATAAAAAAATGGGAAATTTTTATCACTCGAGAAGTGCAAGGATTTTCCTGGCCGGGGGCCAATGATCGCCTTTAACGAGTCTTGTCTAGACGACAATCACTCTGCAACGATGACCCCGAAACGTCATACAAACGATGCGATTTGCATCGTTTTGCGGGATATCTTGATAATAGATAAGCGGCCCCGGATTCGCACAGCCGGGATGGAATTGTGCTCCAGAAAGTGATTTAATGATCCCTAACTGGTTTACTGTATCACCGATGACGTGCAGTTCATGAACGCAGGATAAGTGCATCGGCCGCGAACTGCATCTTCACTCTCGACTTTTTATTCATTTCATGGCGAATTTCATATCTCGTAAAAATTCGTGTACTAGCAATTTACATCATTTTGCTCCGGATAAAAATGATTTAATGATTTTAAACTGGTATCTCGTAAATCCCATGATGCACGTTCGTGTATGCAGTTGCACGAGGTACGGATCTTCATTATCACTGGTTATTTACACTTATTATTTCTCGGTGTCTGTGCGCGGAGTTTGATCTCCGACCCTCCTGGGAATCGCAAATTCGAAAACGTAAAAAGAGAGACCAGCAGTTTCGCAATTCTCTCTCTCATCTCGTCTGGTCAGCTGCATGAAAAATAACGATAAATCACAGTCGGATTTCCTCTTTTTGCAAGAGTAGAAAAAACGAGTCGCCGAGCTCGGCGAATAATCGCGCGCGATTTCCATCCCGTCATAAGTTATTATTTTTTTTTTTCCCCATGGGGACGAGTCACCGATAATTATTCCTTTATCCCGAGGTGGCTTTGTTTAAACAGCCCCGTAACGTAATAACAAGAACTTCGGACCGGTGAGCTCATCGACTCGTCATCGAATCAACTTTTTATAAGTGTGGTCAGTATTTTGATATACTGCAAAATTCATACGAAAATTTATATAAATCTAAATGTACAATCAAACGATTAACGTTAGCCAATTTCGCGGTATGTCAGCTTTTTATTGGCCTGAAGGAAATATCGGGTTACGGAGGGTAAAGGAATGTAATTTCGGAATTTTATGGTATTAATATTTTTTTTATCATTTGGGACATATCTTGGAAAATGAGTTTCCCAGAATTTTGGAAAATGATCGATTTAATCTCGATCGCGTGCCCGGCCGAATCCGCCCTCCCTGGCTCGTAGAGTAAGGTCAGGGATGAATCGGAACCGTGAATGGCGGGCGAGAATAACCAAGGTCAAGGCCATGGTACCTTAGCTCAGGTGCGATCCTACCTGTCCGATCTTTACCTTGAGATAAAGCGACACGCGCGACTTTGTCACCGTCACTCGATTAATAAATCCCCCCTCCCCCGGGATCGACCTCGGGAGGTGTCGGCAAAATGATCACTTTCGTTTTGTCATTTTCCTATCAGGTCGCCGCGGACGTCATCGAGGGTTATCGAAAATGGGATCGACTCTAAAAAGAAAAAGGAAAAAAAATAATAGAAAATTATCACAGGTAGAAATTTGAGGAAATTCAGTCTCTGTGATTTTGACTAATCATCGGAGATGATTTAATTGTCAAATTGTCATTGTTCAACGCTGAAGGAAATTCCAGGAATAATTGCCGCGAATTGAGAGATCTAAGTAATTCTGGAAATAGGTCAGGGTTTCGCGGATTTTTTTTTAATTATGTCGAGATGGTTCGGTTGTAATGTTGAAATTGCATTTTTATTAATTGTTCGATAATTTGTTTGTCAGGTGACACGCTACTCGAACTAGCAGAGAATGGCCGATCTGAAGAGCCTCGGCCTGACTGGCGTAGGCAGCTCCAGGTACAATGGCGACGAGCAGGTGCAATTTATCGCCGATGGAAGCCACCAGGTGACTATCAGGTCCCCGCCGCCGTCTCTGCACCTGGAGAACCTCAACAATGCCGTCTTGGGGTAATTATTGAAAGTGCAGCTCGCTAACTTTACATAATATTCGCCGTTCCGTGCTGGAAACAAGGAATCGATCCTTCTCGGCAAAATGGCGGCTGGTGTCGATGACACGTGCTCACAGGTGGTGACCAGGGGTCCTCCACCTGAATTTTTATAATTAATGCAGGAATCGAAAAAAAGTTCCTGAAAGGGTGAAAATGTAGAATTCACCTGTTCAATTAATTTCCGATATTAAATTGAGAATAAAAGTCTCAANAATATGAACTTTAATAAATTTTCTAGGAGGAGCAATTAGGTATCAGGGATAAACCGACGAATCCTCGATTTTTAATATGTTGGGGAAACATTTCTGAAAGCCTGAACAAGCGGAAAAGCAACAAATGCGATACTTTCAAAATTACCCCCCAAATGCTCCTTAATGTCAGAATAAGTGGCTGATAAAAGTCTCCAGTGATATCGTAACAACCCTTGAAGAGAGTCAGGGGTGAAGTACGAGCACGGCAGGGTGCCAAAAGTCACTTCGCACCGAAAACTTCGACTCTGGTGATTTATCGCGATTACACATAAAGTGAAGGTCTGGATTACGGGTAATTGAAGATTGACTTGGAATATTTCCAAATTCGTGATTCACACCTACCAGGGATGACTTACCGTCCCGAGAAATTCACAACCCCGTAAAACATTATCCCAAATTAAGTATCCAGATTTTTATCATTTCCCTAAAACCCATAAAAATCCCCCCCTTAAATATTATCTCACGCCTTTTTCGATTATTTTCCAAGGAATGAACATTCGTGACGTCTTTCATACCTTCAACGCCTCGACGGACAAAATTTGCATAAGAAAGTCGGAAAGGTTCCTTGAAAGAAAAGACGAGCGGACAGGAACAACCCTTTCGATTGTTTATCGAGGGGGTGAACTCGTCGAGGGGGTTGAAGGTAGGAGTCTATCTTATCGACCGAGTTGCCATTTGACCCGATTTCCTTTTCGCCTCCTGCAGGACTCGAAAATGATTTTTTCAACCCCGTGAAAAAATGTACAAAACCTCCCTGACGAGATAAGAAACTCCTCTGACCCTCTCGAATAAGTCCAATTATTAATTGATGAAATAAATAAGCCATGTAAATATTCAAGAAAATAAATAATGTCGCTTCCGGGTATTCAAATGATGTGACAAGCGATACGAAAATTCCTCCTAGGGCGGATTGAAATCGTTTTTCAGAAATTTTCACAGGGGCAAATGTCTCTCACCGGATGTTCCCATTTTAGCGATGTGTTAATTATAATCACGTGCGTGGCTAAATTAGAGCAAACCGTTCCACTTCGTTCCGCATCTCGGGATGAGAATTCCGCTAAAAGGGATTTCCATGGCCGCGCTTTTGTCATCCGAATCGGGGAAAATGGAATTCCTCCCCGAAAATAGATAATGTATTAATTAATTCTGGACGGGAATTCATGATTTGAGCCGACAAAGGTGTCGCTTCCGCGTTTCCTTGTCTGCGAACAATAACGTTTATTTCGAGGGGAACTCACGGGGACCCGATGGAAAAAGTTCCTGCTTCGTTTATTTCCGCTTGTGGAGAAACCTGTAGGGGTAGAGCCTCGTGCTCTGGTAGATCTATGTTTAGAATTTCTATTCCCGGCAATCGTGACTGTTCCGAGGTGCAAGACAATTTGTCGCGTCCTTCAAGGATCCCCTTTTAAATTGAATCCATTCCTTGCTCCGCAGAAATCGGTTCGAAAGACTCGGAAAACAAAGCCTGACACGAGAACCTTTTATATATATTTTTAATTCTTTATCGACGATCCTTCATATTTCTTTATATATTTTTAATTCCACATCACGTCTTACTCTATACTTCTCTTATTTTATCTCAATATTAATTTATTTCACATCCTTACTATTTTACCTCGATATATTTCTTCTTATCTGACTCCGATTCTAATTTTAATTTATCCTCGTTTCACTTGTATAGTTTTTTTATTTTTTTATTTTTATTCACACTTTATCTCGGTGGCAATTTTTAACGCGATCTTTGGACATTAGGTAGACGAGGTGCACAGTGGTTACATGACAGAGTCTCTCGAGAAAGGCGTGGGAATTTATGGAAATTAATTCCTCGTATTTACATGCCGAGTCGGGCCTCGAGGGGAGTCGAGGAGATCGATCGATCATCGATCGGCGATCCTTTGACCCGATTCCCGACCCAAAGAGACCTCTCGGCGGGGATTTCAACACCGGACTACTTTGCATATGCGAGTTTATCGCTCTTAAGGCCGCATTTAGGAGCTCTTCTGATGTTTGCCGAAAGCTTTGGATCTTCCGCCGATCATGGAAATTCTACCGGAAAGATATCACCGAACGAGTTCAGTTTTTTCTTCCAGAAACAGTCTCGATCATTTCCTAAAACCATTCCTGAAAATCGATTCGCAGACGCCCTTAATTAAATAATAAAAGATCGAGTACGATTCAGCAACGATGTAACCATTTGTGTATATGTTACCGTGAATGACCGAAATTGGAGAATGTCGACTTTCACCGGTGAATGTCAACAGATACCAAATACGTCGGTGAAAGATCGAATATTTCATTACATTGTTGTACGTTCGGACCCTCTCCACAGATATTAGTGCATGGTGAATGTCAACATTTACCGGTGTAAGTCAGAAATAAGGGTATTTAGCGAATACTTCGGACATACACGAAGCGACTATGTGAATGGTGACATTCACCGGTGAAAGTCGACATTCTCCAGATTTCGATGTTTCACTGTAACATATATATGGGATTTTTAATTCCATTGAATTTGAGATATCATTTTCTTTGTATTTTACCCCGGAAAATCACAATTTTCCAGACACGATTCAGCAACGATGTACCCTTTAGTCTAATAATGGGATTTTTAATTCCATTGAATTTGAGATATCATTTTCTTTGTACTTTACCCCGGAAAATCACAATTTTCCAGTACCCTTTTGTCTAATAATGGGATTTTTAATTCCATTGAATTTGAGATATCATTTTCTTTGTACTTTACCCCGGAAAATCACAATTTTCCAGACCGCGACTAGTCTTCGTGATGACGGCTCGCCGAGAGATCATTAGGCAGAAATCGCGAATTCCACGTCATCGTCTAATGACTCATTTGTCGACCGACCTCGGGTACTTCCTCAAAGCGATTGTTTTAAGATTTTCCGAAACTCGCACTGGACCAGGAAAAATCTTCGAGCTAGTCGCGCGTGAACTTTCGACATTAACTTCCGCGTGGAAAAACTTGAGATGCTAATTGTCAAAAGTTAAAGTTGAAAGCTCGTTAATAAATTCCCAGATCTCGCGTACTAATTTAAATCGTCGTGCACTGAAAATGGCATGAAATCTGCGAAAGAAAAGTCTTCGATGACGTCGCCGAGGAAGATTTGGATAAAAGAAAATACCGAGCCGAATTTGCATAAAATTATTTCTTACGCGGATGGAATTTTTCCGATCGATCGAATCGCTCTTGTCGTGCCAAGAAATAGATGCATACACATTTAAAATGCAAATCGGAAGGAAATGAAAAACATCGCGGATAGATAAGAACGAGGAAACGATACACTTTTTGCGAAGTGCACTTTGTACATACGCACGTCAGGGGTGCAAACGAATGGTAGGGACCTCTCATATTTAATGTTAATATTTTCCTCAATTACGATTACTGCGTTCATTCGATTATTTCTGCCCTTTAACCTTCCCTGCAAATCCGGCGGCTCGTCATCGGCCACGTGCGCGCGTTGCAAGTTTAATGCATTTGTTCAAGACACGCGGCCGCAAAGGCACACACCAAAGAGACTATACCTCTGCATAATATATATATAATTTCAGGGTTTAGTATCGATTCGTTTGGCCTCAAAAGTTCGGCCGATTAAATTCCGAGGCCCATCCGCTGGCATAGAAAACTCAATCTCTGGGTAATCAACCCAAACGGGATGAGAACCACGGGCCGCCCCCTCTAGCCGTTTGCATATATCGATTCCCGAAATATCATAAATCTTTATATTTAATCTTAGCGCGGATTCGGACATTCTTCCACATACCTGAGGCTAAAAAACAAGGTTTAATTCCTGAAAACTCAATTTTAATAAATAAAATAAGAAATGTGTGTGGAAACTCGACGACTTGAATGATTAATTGAGTATTACTTATTCTTATTTGCCTTGTCAGAGGCAAATAAGTTTATGCAAAAAATTTGCAGGGACGTGGAGAGGGAATTTTTTTTTTAATTCCCGACCTTTGGCGTTTATGCGTTTCCGCAGTGCCGCTGCGGGTGCATGTGCACTGCTGCACCGCCGGGGATCGATTCTCGGGTCCGTGGAAGCCGAAACATTCGCCGGAAGCGAGCTGCTAGTTTGCGCCGAGCACCTTTTTCTCCCTAAACACCGAGACAACGTGATTGCAGGGGTTCTCAGAACAACCTGCACTGCAGCTGCAACGGCGCGGCGTCCAATGGGACGGCGAGCACCGTCTGCTCGGGCGAAGTCCTGGCGAGGAAGGTGCCCAACCACAGCGGCGCCAGTCCAGGTGGACAGTCCAATAAGAAGCCGGCAGTGTCCCTCACTCACCTGCCCAAGAGGCCGCCCGTCGACATCGAGTTTAAGAACCTGGCCTACAGCGTCTCCGAGGGCAGGAAAAGGGGTAATTGCACAATGAAATCACTTTCTATTAAGATAGGAAAAATATATCAGCGTTATTTGTTCCAATGGATAACCCCTTCCTTTCGAAACTGATCTCGATGGAATTTTCAGTGCAGCAGATTTTTACGTCGGGTGGTTTCTTTATTTTTTATTTTTTTTTTCCTTATGAAGAAAAATTACATTTCTGATATTTCAAACTGATCTCGATGAAATTTTCAGTGCAGCACATTTTGATATTTGAAAGTGATTTCGATGAAATTTTCAGTGCAGCACATTTTGATATTTGAAAGTGATCTCGATGAAATTTTCAGTGCAGCACATTTTGATATTTGAAAGTGATCTCGATGAAATTTTCAGTGCAGCACATTTTGATATTTGAAAGTGATTTCGATGAAATTTTCAGTGCAGCACATTTTGATATTTCAAACTGATCTTGATGAAATTGTCAGTGCAGCACATTTTGAAACTGATCTCGATGAAATTTTCAGTGCGGCACATTTTGATACTTCAAACTGATCTCGATGAAATTTTCAGTGCAGCACATTTTGACGTCGAGAGATTTATTTTTTTTTCCTTATGAAAAAAAAATGACATTTCTGATATTTCGACGTTCGATTCTCGAAGACTCGATGCGGGGTTCAAAATGCACATTTGAGAGAAATTTGAAAAACATGCTATCATTTTGGAAGATATTTCGTAATTCCGTTCAAAATGGTCCCAGACGACTTTGGAGTCGCTCGATTGATTAGACCGATGACTGATGGATCACTAAAAAATGGTGACACTGTGATAAAGAAAAGTGTCATTTGGACATGACATTGTGGCTGTAATTATGTTTCATGGAGACTGGGCAAAATGTGTGATTCGAGTTTAAAGGATGGTTAAAAAGGTCGCTCTGTACATAATCGTTGAAAAGAAGGGAACGGTATGATAATAAATGTGTCCTTTGCTCCAGATTGCGGCGAATTAAAGAATTGGGCCCGGAATTCAACAATTGGAGCCGAATCCTCGAGGGCAGGGATGCTCGTCTCGTAAATTGGAAAATTAAAATTCTCATTTATATAAGTTGGTGTAAAAGGCCGAGTGAGGGCTTGATTAGTTGAATTCCGCGGCGTTTTTTATAAATGCGGTAAAAAGGGCTAATTGGGGCTCCGAAGTTTCCGAGAAGCCCGACTCATTGGACGATATCCCTGTTAAGATCGCCGCTAGTGTTAAATTCCGCGATAACGTCGGCTGCGAATGAGCTCGTCCGTTTTCACCATGACAAAGAAGCCGAAGGCTTTATTTTTCAACGAAATGAAAATGACTTGCCATCCCTATCAGGCGAGCGACCTCGAACTTCCCGCCCTGAAGTTACTACCAACAAAATACTTTTTCCATTGTGCCTCTCAAAATCCCATCTTGGGTAACCAGTTGCATCAACATCTGCCCGTTAACGTTTATCGGCGGCCGCTGATAAGCAGAAAACCACGCGAGAGAGAAAAAAAAGAGAAATTCGTCCGCCAGTCGTAAATCACATTAGGTCCAAATAACGAGGAGAGTGACGTCGGCCGGGCAAATATTAAGGAATCCGCGATAAATACTCGGAATATCGAAAAACTGTTCGAACGAAAGTTGAAGAACTGGAAACGACCGGCAACTTTTGTAGAGGATGATTTTTTGTTATCGCCCACCGTTCGGGAGCAGGACCGCGATTAAGGAGTTATCACCCGCCTTTTCAGTTAACTACTCGGCCGTTGTGCAATCGATTTACGCCGGCCAGTTGCAGCTGGTTTCGGGCCCTCGGCCTCGACTCTTTGCAGTTTTTCCATCGCTACGCTGCTGAGTGAACGACCTGGTCGAAAGAATCGATAGGAATGCACGGAAACGCTTTTGGCGTGCAGATGCGCACCCCGAAGTGCAGTTGCGCTGGCCGATAGCGCGGACCTTGCGATGCGGATGCAGATGCAGATGCACCGGCACGGAAATAGTTGGACCCTCTCCCAACTCCGATTTTTTACCCCCAAATTGTAACGCCGTCGAAATAGCTGCTTCCGAAATGCACTTCGACCTCCCCAGGGCGTTCGCGGCGCACCAAGTGCTCTGAATTTCTTTTTTCCCATAATTTAAATAATTTATTAAATATTATACGGAGGAAGCAACACCCAAAGTGTCTCTCTTTATCTCTGAAAAAATTCACAAAATAATTCGAGGTACCTGTTATCACTCCTTAGACTTAATATTTGCCAATCCTGATAACGCAACGGTTGCTCGTACGTAGGTACTTATTTTTTAGGCTCTTGCATCCCATGTATGTATTTTTCGCGGGATTCTTTGGAGTTTTTCCATACGAGCTAATTTTAAAAATTTATTTAAGGAAAGAGTCAAATTGGGATTGACTCGTCCTAATTTTTTTTTTTTTTCAGGATACAAAACCATCCTGAAATGCGTCAACGGGAAGTTCCGGTCAGGAGAGTTGACGGCCATCATGGGTCCTTCCGGTGCAGGGAAGAGCACCTTGATGAACGTCCTTGCAGGATACAAGTAAGAGATATCGCCGACCACGACTCGCAATTAGAGTAATTGCACAGGCGCAATGTGCAGCTTTTCTCCTACGAGGCTTCGCAACGGTAGAAAGTCTTGCTCTCAAGGACCTCAAGGTCCTCGATCCCGGGATCGATAGATCCTTTCGTCCTCGAGGAAACTCCGGTTGCCGAGTGACGCGCGAGTTTCATTTGAAATGACTGAAAATAAATAGGGTAATAACTTATGATTCGTCTTTGTACTTCCAGGACCTCCCACCTCAGCGGATCGGTCCTTATCAATGGCAAGGACAGGAACCTGAGGAGATTCCGCAAGATGTCTTGTTATATTATGCAGGACGATCGCCTTTTGCCGCATCTTACCGTCTACGAGGCGATGAACGTCTCGGCGAACCTGAAGCTCGGCAAGGACATCAGCAAGTCCTCGAAGAAGATCGTCGTGAGTCTTCGACATATCCTTAAAGTCATCATCCTGGAATGGCGGCCTGAATTATTACATTAACTTGCTTTTTCTACCAGCTGAATATAATTCAGCTAAGGAACAAAATCCGTATTTAAATACTATCGGGCATTAACTTCGGAATTTTTTAAGCCGATATGAAAGTGGGTTAATAATTTGTAATGTTTTTTGCGAGTCGTTGAAAATTTTACCACGTGAACGCGGAGGCCCTAGGGACGGTATCGACACCCATGACATTGTTTTTTTTTTTCTAAAGTATTTAACAAATAATATTTGTAAATAAATTGAAAACTGAAATCTCATGGGTGTCAAGATAGTTTCAGGGCCTCCGTGTTCATGTGATGGCATTTCATGATTCGGTACACGTGTTCGAAGAACGAAATCTTATGAACAATTGTGCCCATAATTATGAAAGTGGTCTAAGTCATATATTTTTTGTTTCGAAATTACATTGAATTAATTTCGTATGAAATAATATGGCGTGAAATAACTGATAAACTCATTTTTTTTTTTTTAATTTTGACTTAGACCACTTTCATAATTATGGGCACGATTGAACCCACGGATGTCACTTTCGCGTCACCTTGATAAATGTTTGAGTTAAATTTTGATGACGGCTTTCAGATAGAGGAGATCATCGAAACTTTGGGACTGAGCGAGGCGAGCAACACGCAGACACAAAGACTAAGCGGTGGCCAACGAAAGAGACTGTCAATAGCCCTGGAATTAGTTAACAATCCGCCTGTCATGTTTTTTGACGAGCCCACTTCCGGCCTGGACAGCTCCTCCTGTTTCCAGTGCCTCAACCTGCTCAAGTCCCTAAGTAGAGGAGGTGAGTCTCGATGGAATATTCCAAATGATCTGGGCAAAATTTTGCATATTACTAATTATTCAATAATATTCAATTGTCTCAGGACGAACGATTATCTGCACGATTCATCAACCCAGTGCGAGGCTCTTCGAGATGTTCGACCATCTCTATCTACTCGCGGAGGGCCAATGCATCTATCAAGGCAACGTCGGTGGACTGGTGCCCTTTTTGTCCTCGATGGGATTAGATTGTCCGAGTTATCACAATCCCGCTGATTACGGTGAGAAATTTCACAAATTTCACCAGAAGGTGGAACCTCCCACCTGGACTATAAAAACGTGGGGAATCACAACAAGCGATCATTGACATTTGACAATTCCGACCCTGAGGGATAATAATTAAATAATTATTACGGGCTATTAGTACATACATGCTTTTTATTACAGTACAGATGTATGTAAGGTATATTTCTAGGACTGATATGGGGAAATAATTCTATATTTATTATTTCAGTCATGGAAGTCGCGTGCGGCGAACATGGCGAGTGCGTTCACAAGCTCGTCATGGCGGTGAACAATGGGAGGTGCAATAATTATCAGCATTATCAAATGACTTTGGCGGCCGCCCAGGCGGTGTCTAATGACATCGTTAAGCAGTCGCCACCGCAGGAACAAACGAAACCAGAAGGGGCAGGCATGCCGAATGGCGTGGCGAAAATCCCGACAGGTGCTACTGTGATAAACATGCCGGTTTCTTGTACAACGTCATTACTCGACAGTGCGGAGAGCATCGAGCAAAAAGTCGGCTTCCCCAACAGCGGCTGGATCCAGTTTTGGATTTTACTTAAGAGGACGTTCTTGTCGCAGATCCGAGACATGGTACGTTGGCTTTCCTCGGTTTGGCTGGAAAATCCGGCGACACTAGCGACGCCACGTGGAGATTTATTCATTTATCGGGCAGCTACTCAGAAATTCTCCGAAGATTTCATAGAATCTCATTAACGAATGTGTGGAATCTTTGTGCAGGACTTTTTTGCCAATCCATCTGGGTTTTACCGCTAAACTTATTACGCGTATGTAATTGAATATTGATTTAATTAGAAATAAAATGCGCTGTTTAATTATCTTCCTAGACACTCACGACGGTCAGACTGATCTCCCACATAATCGTGGGGTTCCTCATAGGAGCGATTTATTACAACATCGGCAACGAGGCGTCGGAAGTAATGAGCAATGCTGGGTGCATCTTTTTCACGATCATGTTCCTCATGTTCACCGCCCTGATGCCCACGATTCTTACGTGTAAGTAGAACTGAATTCTCAGGGGCGATGTAGGTACGCATTTTATCATCATGAGTCCCTTAGGTATTAATAATGTATGAATTAACGCGACTTGAAAATTGGAAATCATTTCTTCGGCGTTTCCAGTTCCCATGGAGATGGCGGTATTCGTAAGGGAGCACCTGAATTATTGGTACTCATTGAAGGCCTTCTACTTCGCACGCACGCTGATAGATCTGCCATTTCAAGTAATGACAATTTTCCAACTCGCATTTGGCAGAGCTATTTCCACGGGGGTATTAATAATTTATATTTTTTTAGATCGTGTACTCGGTAGCGTACATAGTCATCGTGTACTTCATGACCTCCCAGCCCCTGGAGCCGGAAAGGTTCTTCATGTACCTCAACATCTGCGTCTTGACAGCACTGGTTTCGCAATCAATTGGCCTGGTGATAGGTGCAGCGATGAGCGTCGAGGTGAGTCCTTAAAAATTCCCTGGTAATTAAAAATAAAGCGTGTTTATTAATTAAATTAATTGCAAATCTCTGCGCAGACCGGAGTGTTCGTAGGGCCGGTTTGTTCGGTGCCGATCGTCCTCTTCTCGGGCTTCTTCGTCAACTTCAAGGCGATCCCCAGGTACTTGAAGTTCCTGTCCTACGTAAGCTACATCAGGTACAGCTTCGAGGGCGCGATGATCTCCGTCTACGGCTACGACAGGGCGAAGTTGAAATGCAAAGAGGACTACTGCCACTACAAGAGCCCGACGAAGTTCCTCGAGCAGATGTCCATGGAGAAGGCCGTGTACTGGATGGACGTGGTCGGCCTCGTGGGGTTCCTGATAGCCATAAGGATCATCGCGTACTTCGTACTGAGACTTAAACTCCGCTCGCTGCGATAACTGCTGCGACCTGGGGACGGCAAAGGGGCGACAATAAACCTGGAAACAGATCAGGATGTTCAAGACGACGAATCAGCCCTGAAGGAAGCGGAAGAAGAGGAATCCTCTCACCGACTTCACGGCGAGGTCGGCCAGCTGTCTGAACTCGTCAGCTGATCCTGGCCAAGATCCTGGCCCTGATCCTGGTCCAGGACCTGGTCACGTCGTAAATGAGAGCAAGAGACGAGATTTTTCGTAGAAGCGAGCCTCGCGACGCTTTTGATACGACCCAAGGTAGCTTCGAGGAGGAGCGAAGAGGTCCTGGAATCTTTGAGGACGAGTCGGGACCCATCGAGGATATTCTGGAGCCGCCTCAGGAATTCCCCAGGATTTTTAAAATCATCCTGGAGCCTCTTCCGGATTCCCCTGGACCTCTTCTGGACCGACATCCGTGCGACGTGTCGCGGATTACTGGGATGGAAATTCTTTTCCACCTGAGAGAAAATCCAGATATATTTTCTCCCGGGTCCGCGACAGGCTTTGCGACCACGGCATGCCGAATTTATTGGCATTTCCCACTTCCGGTCGCGGCCGGATGTCGGACCTAAACGCGTGCTCGCGTGTAGCTTAATTTCTACTCTAGACTTATCCCGCGAGATCCGATTTGGGAGATACGAAACCGGAAGTTCTAGCGGGTAGATGTACATTGATAATCGAGGGGCTCGACATTTTGTAGACACACACGTATTACAAATTAGGGATGCGACGAGTCGAGGCATTGATATCTCCTTTTTCTTTCGTCGTTAAAAGGAATCGGGTACTCGTTGGAATGAACACTTAATTCGACTTCGTTTCAACCGGTTGATCGAGGCCAAGCTCGAGTGTTTTCTGGTTTGAGAAACTGGAATTTCGAGCTCATCGAAAATTCAACTCGTCGCGTCACTACTACTAACTCGCCAGGGGACTGAGGCCCGTTCAAGACTAACTTCCCTCCAGATCGTGAGGCCACTTGTACTAGCTAGGATCATCGAGACCTCGGCATCGAATTAGCGGAATCATCGAAACGACGTACCGACTTATCGCGGTTATCTCCTCGTAGACAATCTCCCGAGAGAGCTCACTCTTGACCAATCACTGGCTGCCTGTGCGTTTGCTTTTTAAGTGTGAGTGAATCATGTTGCGGCTGCTTTGTACCGCGAATCGGGAATAACGAGTCACGAGGATGTGCAACGTGTGCGACGAGGATGGGGAATAAGGTGGTGCGGCATCGCGATCCACCGACCGTCGAGGCCTAGGGTCCACGGGGAGCATAATCAAAAATCTCTGGATTTCCACGCACCGGCGTGTTCCTCGGTCGAAATGGGACCAAAAATCCCTCTTGCGTGTTTCCGAGAGACGTCTCCTTTCCGAGATATCGGGAATTGAAGTCGGCCAATCGCGGCGCGGCTCCAGGGGAAATGCCGGCCGGTACATCGGAAAGATGCCGACTCCCGACTCCCGACTCCCCGGATTCATTCGCGAATATCTCGGAAAGTACTCGTCCTATCGAGTTGCGGAAAGAACGATTTCTTCGTAGAATTTCCTCGGGATTGCGCCGATTACCCGAAATCGAGAGATTTTCGCCGCCCTGTAGAGTCTCCCTTTCCGTTGACATTGTCTTGTCTAGCTGTACAGTCGAAGGCGTGTTACGCGCTCTTCCGAGACTTCACATTCCTCGGATGTTAATCCTTGCGTAGAAAGGGGGATCCGACATTTTTTATATAAACAAAACGAAAAAGGGGGTGCAATCGCTGCATTGGCTGGTTCCAATCAGGACCGGAAGTGACTGTCTGTGATGTATTTCCTCGGTTCGTGGTGTCTGAATTTATACAGTTTGCATATTCGCGGAGAACAAGGAGCTTAGACTGTAGAGATTTGCAATTAAAAGGAAAGAGGGGGGAAAAAAAGAAACGTAATCGAATTATAATGTAGCTTGCCAGTGACGTATGTCCTTCCCTTGATTTTCCTTTACTTTACCCTCCACATTTTCTATATATATATATATACATACATACATATATATATATATTATATATAAAAATAGGTTTAACTTGTTACACCACTAACGATGTTTACCGAAGTATTAGTTAATAATTTTAACAGTGCAATGCGAGGGGGAAGACCACCTAGAAAAAAAAATGAGGATATGATTTTCGAGAGGGAAATGAAATGAATATTTTTCGGTAAATCCAGGCAAATCTTCGTTTCTCGGCACTTGTTGTTTTTCTTTTTATTTATTGCTAATGTTTCTTACACGAGGACGAGAAGTTCGAGTTTTCGGTTTCCTTCGATTCCCGAGATAATTGTCAACATCTTCGGAAAATGCGAGACAAGGGAATTTAACGTTGATATTGGAGCCTGTACAGGCGATATCGGACAATTGCATAAACAATTGCAGGTGTCCCGAGCTCGGTACCAAAACGTGTACGGAATTGCATAATTGCTAGGCGATCTCATCAATTCCGGGTATAAATGTATCGGGCGATATCGATCCCCTTTTGAATAATTAACTTCCGGCGAGACCGATTCGCGAGCTGCGGATCTTAACATGTACATTAAACATTAAACATTACTGATATATCAAAAGCGCTCTCGAGAGGAGTTAAAAAGCGCGGATTTTGTGCCAGCCCGATTTCCGGCTGCAAAAGTGTACATATAAAGATTTTATAATTTTTAACACGCTCATTTATTAAGGTCCCTTAGCCCTTCCAGACCCGCCATTTTATCTGAATATAAGAAGGTATATTATAATACCCATTATAATACATTGACAAATATAAGAATTCGCAGAAATCAGAAGAGGTGGAAATTCGATATTTGACATCAATTACTTTAATACTGCTCTTAAAAGTAAAAATGAAAAAACAGAAAGGTCTGAAAGGGCTTAAAGTTGGAACGACCGCAGTTCTGTATCGCGCCCTTGAAAAACCGTACTTTAAGGTCAATGAATTGGGGATTAGAATTTTTTAATTTTTACTCTTAATTACCGGAGGGTAGGTATTGCGGTAAGGGCGCGATATTTACAAGAATCAATTCGCAAACAGTAGGATTCGCGGTCCTTCTATCGGATCATGAACAACAGTCCGATAGACGAGAACTCTGACTTAAGATGACATTTTATACACGAATTTGTAACAATCGACTGTACTTCGTTGTGAAATACGCTCAAGCGAATCTTCGAGCCCGCAAACGCGCATATGTGTGCACTCATGCTTACACCGAGTGTTTCGAAATTTCCGAAAAATCGCCAACCACGTTCCTCAGCTCGATAACCGGCGTTCGAATTTCAAACGTCGCGCGCCAATTTCAAATCTCGCAGAGCGTCGGCGACACCTTTGCGTAGAGTTTCGAGGGACGCGCGGGGGCGGGCGGGAATTTCGAAAATCTCAATTGCTGTACGAATATAGGCGCGATCACACGAAAGAACCTCGTTAACGATAACGATAATTTCGCTTATAGAGGACATCGCATCGGTGTATCAATAGACCATACATACCAAATACCATCAGTATCATTTTTTGCAGAATCGCGTGATTTTATATCCGAGTGCGAGGACGAGAGAGCTAGAATTAGGTGCGAGAGGGCGCGAATGATAGGACCGTAAGACGTCACGGACTAATTTAGTGCGAATCTCGTTAAAAAACGATGTATGGGTCGTCTCGTGTTTTAGATGAGGAGTCACGTTTGTACTAAAGCACAAATTAATAAATGATTATAGCAAATGTTCTCGTATCTCGTGCGTCGATTTACAGTAGTATCTATTATTGCACGCCTGGCTATGAGACTTGATGATAATTTACTTAAAGACGAGCGTTAAAGTCATAAGTAAAGCCTTGGCTATATCAAATTCGAATCGGCCATTTTGAAATCGCCGCGCGCTCGGTCGGGCTCTGACCAGCGCGGTGGGACCACGTGACCGCGCCGCTGCGCGCGCATCCTCAATGGCGACGCTTCCTTTCTCGCCGAGCAGAACACGTGCGTAAGGAGAGACAAAGTCCGTCACATCGAAAAAGCCGAAAATGGACAAGCCTGTGGTTCGAGCACGCGTGATCAAGGTTCTGGGAAGAACTGGATCCCAGGGCCAGTGCACGCAGGTCAAGGTCGAGTTCCTGGGAGAGCAGAACCGACAGATCATCAGGAACGTGAAAGGCCCGGTACGTGAAGGGGACGTCCTAACCTTACTGGAGTCCGAACGTGAGGCGAGAAGGCTTCGATAAGAAGACCGTTCGAGGAAGAACATCGCCGTCCACTGATATCACCGGGACGAGCAGACATTTTCCACCTGTCGGCGAGGATCCCGTGGCCCATGCTCACGAGGATGCCAAGAAGAGGTTATCTCCCGACCCTTGTCTCTCCATTATGCAGCGTGCACTCCACGAACGTTAAATAAATTAAGGTCTGATCATTTTCAACAATCGGGCTATTATTTATTTATTCAACCCTTACTTTCGCGAGATATGAATTGAGAATACTAAGATTATCGATGGAACGGAGGAAAGGTTAGGTTGTAAGCCGACGAACCGTCTATCGAATCATTGCATGTTTTAGGTGAGGTGTGCGAAGTCTGTCGAGCATGTAATATATAAGTGAGATGTAACGTTCACTATAATACACACAAATGCGAAGTAAAATCATAATTCGATGCGACGTCGGAGTTTTTCCTATTAAGTCTCGTAGAGCTTTTCTCCTCTTGAATAATTGAAAAGAACTGCCTCGCTGGAATAATTGTATTATCTAATATTTTAGATGGGATGCGTTGAAAATATCACGTCGACTGCCTGGTGGTCACCGGTGAACGGCAACCGCTATGCAGTCGTGACCAGCTTGGCGGTCGACGTGATATTCGAGGTTGAAAATCCAATTTTCATTTCATTTAAAATATCCATAAGTGCTATTAAATTCTTGGAAATGATTTAACTCGAGGAATGTTGTTTTATCATGTTCCTAGATCTATAATTCGTATTTAGAAATGTACGTTTCTATACAGGAACACAATAAATATATGCAGGCATTGGGAGGAGCTCGATTATGGACGCCATGTTTGTTTTCCCGGGGCTTAATCAGAGTTCACGGCGGCGCACGAGACCTGCTCGTCCACCTAAGAGGAAGAGAGACAGTCATGAACCAGGAAGACGAAGAAACACCGGGAAATGGCACGGACTCTGACATAACGGGAGGCGTAAAAATCGGAGTCAAAGTTTGATTGGCCTTATCAGCGGCCAATCGGCGCGCGGGTCGAGGTTAGGCGGTTTCGCGCGGCCGATTGACCGAGTGCGTGATCGATTATCGCATTTAGTGGCGCGATGATCTTCGTGACGGCCGGTTCTCTAATAATCTGCATCAGGCGACTTGTCTGAACCTGCCCCGCCCTGTATAAAACGTGAGGTGAGCATCCCCGCCGGGCCAACCTACATAACCTAGAAACGCTGTCTGAAGACCGGTGTCCAAGTGCAATGAACTTTGCGACATCTTTCACTTCCCGATAGACGTCTCAAGATGGTGCTGCCACTTGTCGAGAAGACGTTTTGTAACGTCATTTAGCCAGGGTTAAATATTCCACGCTAGGTACATAATGCGTTCGATTGCTACAAGGCGGTTTATTTCACTGCGAGTGTACATGATTTTATTGTATATACGGATACACGCGTTTATTACCGGATTCTCTATTTATACTTAGTGTATGCTTTAATTTCCACTTGCAACGATTCTGTATGTAAACGAGAGTACGAAGCTTGTAGCTTCGACGTGTGGTGGAAAAATGTGACTGCTGCGGTTTTTATTTTTTGGAAAGAAAGCTTAGAAGCTTTTTTGTATCAAAGATCTAGTGTCGGTTGAATTTTCAGTGATGTATTTAGTTGACGAAGGAATTTTATGAGGTTTTTTTTTTCCACTCCCACGTAGCGCCGTTTCCATCACGGCAAAGGTCGCGGGCCTTTCTCTCTCGCCTTCGGCGATCGCCCTAGCTCTTACTCTCTCACACTTACGGGTCTATATTCGAAGCGAAAGTCAAGAGCGCGATCGGCGCGACCTCCGGCTGCGACACGCTGCACTTCCGGGTGCATTCGAGGTCAGAATCCGAAAGCGCGATCACGGGTCTCGAAATTAACTGCGCCTTGAAATTCCCGTCGAACAAGGTTCCCTCGCGTATCGGGAAGACGAAAAGGACGGAAATTTGTGAAATTGTAAGAGGCGCTTCGAGAATTTTTAGTCCAAAGTTACGAGGTGGGCGGAGCAGACAAAATGGCGCCTGCAATCCCGGTGCAGCCAAGGTTGTGCATTGGAACCGAAAGCGAAATCGTTTGAATAATTAATCTTAATATCTCTAGCAATAGTTTCGCCGTACTCGTTTGATTTTCGAATTTTTTTACGGAATCATCGTGCTGGGTTTCCGGATTTTCTTAACGATGTCGTAAATTATGTAAGCGGTATTTGTTAAATTGTTGTTTTTTTTTTCTTTTTTTTCTTTAACCCTCGTGGTTTCTCTCTAGGGCGAGGAGGAGGGAATATTACCTAAGATAAGTCCTTGCAGATTTAATTGCACCGACAAAGGCCGGGGCTTTCTTTCTTCTCCAATCCCCTCTCTGTCTAGCTTCTACGGTGCATATAGCAAAATGAAAGTCATTATCGCAAGGCCATTCATGACCGAGCTGGTCTTCTGCGCAACGCGGTTTCGTTCATTTCCGTATGAAAAATCGCTCTGACACCCGCAATCTATAAATAAACGACGAAAAGCCGGCGAAGTGAATTTTCTGATGATCTCGAGCCTCGAGGAAAACTCGAAATTCCCGACAATTAGCGAGATCTGCGAACTACACGACCCTCGGGGAGATTCCCGGGACCAGATGCGCCATTATCGGAGCCTAATGACCGTGATAACCGTGTTATTGTAAAGCAGTAATAATTGCAGCTTGTCGCGGGGAAAAGTCGAGAATAGTTGTATCGCTCGGAAGGGTGAAAAAAGAGGAAATGCATCGTGGATTTAATTATTCTATCGCGATTCTGAAGGGAAATCAATCCATGCTTAGTCTTAAGAGAAAAAACGATGGGAAATGCTGGAGATCGATTTTTGGCATAATTTCTGCACCGTCAGGTGGGAGACCGTAAGGTCTGAAATCCCGCGCACGGCCGCGCGATTCTCGCCTTTATCGCTCGCGCCGTCTTGTCTTCCATCGTGGACTCGGCGAAAACAAGATGGAGGGGAATGGAAAGAAAAAGATATTCGGCCGGACTTCGGACCCTTCGCAACGATCGAGGCTTTATCGATCCCTCCTAACCAGTCGCGGGGATCGGTTTAAACGTCCGTTTTATCGATTATCGCCGACCCGTCGAGGAATCTTTGTATTCGGAAACTCAAAGATCGAGCTGCGTCAGTTTCGCGGTTTTTTCTTTTTTTTTTTTTTTTTTTTCTAAACGAGGAAATGGAACGCCGATTAATTTCTTGGGAATTCTGTTGGACTCACGAGTTATGCCGTGCCTTTGTTTCTATTTTCTACAGAGAGAGACGAGGCTGGATGTGCTACAATTATTGAAAATCGATAGAAATTTCTCAGCGAAATAGCCACGATTTGAGAAGATCTAACGAGATGGCGAAGAACGAGAAACAAAATGGACAGCTGGCCAAGTTCAATGCCGATAATGTGGACGGGCAAGTATTCCGGGTATAGTGGAGAACATGAATGCCTTCTCTGAGAATATGAATGCAATCACACAATAGATACTTCGTGTACTGATTCTATTATCAGTGCACGAAGGGAAGGCATTCATGTTCCCAGTGTACCTCCCACTTTGTAACCCATTGTCTCGTGCAACGCCGTTAAAGAAAAATGATATGTGCCCATAATTATGAAAGTAGTCTAAGTCAAAATTAAAAAAAAAAAAAATGAGTTTATCAGTTATTTCACGCCATATTATTTCAATCGAAATTAATTCAATGTAATTTCGAAACAAAAAATATATGACTTAGACCACTTTCATAATTATGGGCACATATCCCAATTCTATAAGCCTGATAAGAAAAAATGGGAATTTAAAATCATAATATTAAATCTGTCATTTTTTAAGATGATTTCGCGCATTTAAATTACGGCGAGATTTTTTTCAACAGCTTTGTACCGATTCAGTTTATTTTATTTTATTTTTTTTTAACGAGAATCGAGGCGCAGAAAATTGTTATCGATCCTCTCGCGTGATATGTGGGATAGGCGTTGCGCGAGGCATGTCGTGGTTGTTTAATTAATTATTTATTTATTGCGTGGGACCAGTTACCCTCGAGCTCGTGCTCGGGTTAGAGTTCGAGATGTTCCGCTCTCGTGTAGTAGAAGATCGATCGAGTCGACAATCGGTGATAAGATATTGGCTGATAGGAGCTTCAATTACGACACCTGCAGGGCACTCGTGATGTGCCCCGTGAGAAATACCCTATTTTCGGTAATTATATGGGAACGGTTACTTCCTTCACTTGCGTGAAGATGTACGAAACAATGGAGGGGAAGGAACAAGACTCACGTGAGGAAAGGATTAAAGTGCATTTCTCTGCACATATCGGCACTGCCAAGGATACGTCCCACCACGTGAGATAACTGTGAACGAGCTCTGTGCACTGAATTAAATAGCGAAGCCCAGGATTTCTCTACACGTGGCCGCGGAATCACACGTGGGACCTTGAAATCCACTTTACATTTTTCTCTTCTCATCCCCCCCCCCCCGATATTTTTTATTTCGGCCGTCCGCAATGCAACCGGCTCTATAAGAGACGTCGCAAATTCTTCCCCGGTGCCCCCTGCTATAAATAAATAATTTAATTGAAACCAACTCGAGCACGTCACTCGGGAACGAATGCAACAGATAGAGGAGCGCCGAATTCTCGCCGAGGAATGATAAGAGATATTTTTCTTTTTTTTTTTTTTTTTCCCAATTTCTTCGTACCGCCGGCGATCTTAATCGTCGAATAATTGTGCCCATAATTATGAAAGTGGTCCAAGTCAAAATTAAAAAAAAAAATGAGTTTATCAGTTATTTCACGGCATATTATTTCAAACGAAATTAATTCAATGTAATTTCGAAAGAAAAAATGTATGACTTAGACCACTTTCATAATTATGGGCACAATTATCCCGCGATTTATTGGCGCGGTGTTAATCTTTTTCTGGTGGGTGTTGTATTTTTTTTTATTTTTTTTTTATTTCAATCCGCAGGTTCGATCCGTCGTTGCGCAATGCTACGAGATCTTATCATGTGCATGTAAACTTACGCGGGTTTTACGCACGAGGTGAAACTAAGGCGCGTGTAAAAAAAACGCGTAAATCTACGCTCATTGAACTTGGACCCGAATTAAGGACGATTTTTTTTAGTAGAGGGAATCCTCTCGAGCTAACGTTAACGCACGTCTCGTACGCATGTGTACGTCGAAGTGACC